AAATTGTGCATTTCCTCCTCATATCCTGTCTTTTAAATAAATTTCTGTCCTTTTTTCCCATGCAAGACTCAGTATTATTTTATATCTTAAGGTATTAGTGTTGTATGACAAAAGTATTTTGTACTTAATAAATAAATGGTCCAGAATGTTTAATCATGGTAAAGGGATATGAAATTAACAGACTACACCAAATGAATTTACGAAACTTAATTGTCCAATTATTTGCACTCTAAATTTTATAATATTGACGTCTATGGGGAGTGCATGTCTAATTAACAGATTGTAAAAATTTATGTGTATATCATACAAATCTCTTGGTGAAAATTTGCATAACTTAATTTTTACCAAAATATGAATTAAGATATTCTGAAAATTTATCAGGGATATATAACTCTTTTTTTAGGTGCAAAATCTGATTTTTTATGTCTTAATAGTTGTGTGAATTTAGTTAATTTCACTTTCATCTTAGCAAACGAAAATTTTATCTTGTTTAAACAATTCAAAATTGTTCGAAAATCGATTTATTCTTCATTGAACACATTTATTGTTTTATATTTTATGGAATTCATAAACAATCACGTCATCATCACAACCATAAAATAAGAACTCTTTGAAGATCATTTGTTTTTCTATAAAAGACTCTTCTAAATTAAAGTGTCATTCACAAGTCCTCTCAAAAATGAAAAAAAGATATACATATTACTGTAAACATGTTATGTTAATATTACAGGTTCAAAGCAAAGATAATTGCCAAGGAAGAGCAACGGTACAAGGTCCATTATATGGGGTACAGCAGCAGCTTCAACAAATGGGTGGAGCCTTGTGAAGCAAAACCGTACATATTTGTAAGTAATACTTTATTTGAGATTGTATTTTTTAGTTTGATGATTAATTTAATGAATGTTTGTGTAATATTGGTTCATTACTGATTTCACAGGAAGCAGGTGAAAAGATCCGTGCCACGCGGGAAGATGGGCATTAATATAAGAGAAAGGTCAGAGGAAGAAACACTGAAGGTATTTGATTATTAAATCAAGAATATCATGGGGGAAAATGAGTAGATATGCCCAGGTTTTTGTCAAATAAAACATCTGAATGAATAAGTCATCTTTACTTTTGAAAAGCAATGATATAAATCATCAATTGATCACTGAATGAACCTGTTGAATTATAGTTTATACAGTTATTGTCAGTATCAGATCACTTTGTTGAATCTTGAACAAATTAATAAAATCAATATCATATTTTCTACTGCTAAATATTTTCTTTGATGCAGGATACACTGTTCAGTTCGAGGATGGATAGTCTACATGACTAACACCGTTCGATTTTAGAGACACAATGAAGTGATGAGAAGAGGCCACAGAAAGGGACATTTCAGTTTATTTTATTGTTGTGGCTTTGTTGTTATATATTTATATACAAAGTTATGAGAATAAATCATTAAAAATTAAATTGAACTATTCTTCTTCTTATTCTTTCAATTCTTTGTAGTTTATATGTAGTCATCTGTCCATCTGTCAGTTAAATTGTTAAATCATGATCCAAGGGGTATTGTGGGGCTACAATATAAGTGAAAACTAAGAGGGGAAAAGGTTAAGAAATGTTCTTAAACCCAATTAGTCAAAGAAATATCATACCATCATCAATTAGTTTATTCAAGTTTATTCAAACCATGCCCCCTAAGTGGTAGCTCTGGTGAGCAATGTGGCCCTTGGGCCTCTTTATTTTATTTTTTCACATTGCTTTAGAAGTTAAACGTATAAAAATTGCAGTATATCAAAATATTACCACAATTTTAAAAATCTTTACTTCATCATGATTATTGTAATGAATCATTCAGATGTATAATCAGGTAATAATTGGTCCTATTTACATGTTACATGCAATTATAACACTGTTATAGCTTTCTAAGCAATTAATGAATTTATTAATGACTTTGTCATAAAAAGAAGTTAAAGAAAGCATTTTCCTGGTTTAGGATTGAGAAGCTACTACATTTACAGATTATTTAGAATGGAATATAATAGGATTTAATCCAAAATCAGGGCCAGTGGACATAAACATCTATAACAATACATAATTTTTGTCAGTGTAACGAAAAAACAAATTCCGGATAAATTAGAAGTATAAAAGTTTTATGATATACTCACTTGCAATTTAATCAAGGATGCAGAAAAAAATTCAGGGGGATATTTTTTCGTTCGTCTCACTTAACAATTCTCTCGGTCTCTCTGTCTGTCTGTCTGTCTGTCTCTCTCTCTCTCTCTCTCTATTGAACTTAGCTAACCCTGTCTAGATTCGCGCTTTTATTTTACTTTACAGTTACTTTTTTATTAGTGTTTTGGTCATCATCCTCATTCTTTTCTGTTTTTAAATTATTTCAACTCATATTTTCAAAGTGAATATAAAGATCCATGGTTCATGACTGTGTTCAATTTATTTCGAGGTCCCACTTATTTCAGACTAACATGGCTTCTAAATTTTAAAAACCCAGAAGGGTCAAATAGCTTGGTTGGAGTTCCTTTCCTATTAGTCTAAAACTGAACATCGGCCTGGCCGGTACCATAATAATGCAGATGCTTTGTCCAGACGACCTTGCATTGATGTGAACTGCAAACACTGCAGCATTGCATATTCCCGATATGAAGGAAAGGTAAAAGAGAATGTTAGTAACATGCAAATTAGGGAAATACCTGCATCTTGTGCTGTAGCCACCAGAGCGACCAAAAAGGTTACTTCCGCAAAGACTACTTCTTCCCTGAAACCTACAAAAAACAATTCTGAGCAATCAGAAAATAAAACTGATATAAGATATATGCAAGGAAAAGACCTGAACATAGCTAAAGTGATTGAATGGGTGAAATTGGGAAATAAGCCTTCTTGGAGGAATATGTCTCAAGTCTGAGTGAGACTTGAAAATATTTTTGGGTTAGATTTGATTCCCTACAAATGATAAATGGGAAAATATTAACCCTAAATTACAAACAGTTCTCCCTCAGTCAATGGCTAAAGAAGGTTTCAGTGAGATACATAGCAGTCTTACAGGTGGCTATCTAGGCTTCAAAAAGACACTCTCTAAAACCAGAGATAAATATTTATGGTATCATATGTCTCAGGACTGAGAGCGTTTTTGCAAAATTTGTGATAAATATGCATTTAGAAAGTCCCCAAAGAAACTTCCCCAAGAGCACCACTACAGATGTACAATGTTGGAGCTCCTATGGAACGTTAGGCTCTTGATATCTTAGTTCTATCTCCCAATAACTCATAAGAAAAATTCTTACTTATTGGTCGTAGGGGACTATTTCACAAAATGGATAGACGCAATCCCTGTAAGAAAAAAGGCTATCAAAATAGCTCAAAAACTTTTGGAACACAATTCCAATTTTTGGTGTGACCATGCAATTTCATTCTGATCAGGGGCAAATGTTTGAATCCGACATATTTAAGGAAATGTGCAACTTGCTAGGGATAGAAAAAAACAAGAACTTCTCCCTATAGACCCCAATCAAATGGAACGATAGAAAGGGCTTGCACAATAGAAATATGTTGTTCTCATTTGTAGACAAAAATCAGAAAAATTGAGACGACGAGTTAGTACCCTCATTAATGCTAGCATACCGTTCCTCTGTGCATGAATCTACTGGAGTAAGCCCAAATGAAATGGTATTTGGCCGTCCGGTCACATTACCAATTGATCTCATTCTTAGACGGGCAGACCCTGAAAGACATTGTGTAACAGATTATGCACAAGATCTGTCTTAAAAATTAGAAAAAATACAAAATTTTGCAAGAGAGAAAGTAAAACTAAATTCCCAAAACATGCTTAGGGAATATAATGCAAAAATTCACAAAACTTATTACAAACCTGGGGATTGATTGATTGTATACTGTTTAACGTCACTCTCCAGAATATTTCACTGATATGGAGACGTCACCATTGCCGGTAAAGGGCTGCAAATTTAGGCCTATGCTCGGCACTAACGGCCTTTGAGCAGGGAGGGATCTTTATCGTGCCACACCTGCTGAGACACGGGGCCTCGGTTTATACGGTCTCATCCGAAGGACCGCCCCATTTAGTCGCCTTTTACGACAAGCAAGGGGGTACTGAGGACCTATTCTAACCCGGATCCCCACGGGGCCAAACCTGGGGATGCAGTATGGGTATTTTACAGAAAATTATCTTAAAAGTGGGCAGGGTCCTTCATTGCTGTTAAGAAGATAAATGATATCTTATACAAAATCGAGAAGAGTCCAAAACATAAGAAGGAAATTATCCACCATAACTGAATGAAACTTTATGAGGGAGAAAACAAACCCACCTGGTTTCATGCATAGAAATTTCTCTAAAAATAAAACTGTTAACCTTACCAAACAGTAAATATTCTTTTGTATCACAATAACATGTTATATATGCTACCTTCTTTGCCCTTCATATGTGCAACGATTCAAATGTGTACTATGCAACGGACGTGCAATCGTCCAGCAATGCATGCAGAACATCTCACCACCACTCACTCTGGCTTTGCGTATCAGTGTTCAAAGCGGGTGATTACAAATTTTGACCCCAAACCAGGAGCCAAGGGGGCCATCTTACTCAAGGAACCACCCACAGTAGCTCCAAACAAAAGGTCCAGAAAATCGATACCTAGACGTTACATTGCATCAGTACAACCTGCTCCGCCAACAAGCCGCGGGGATAACCTGCCTACTGCCACATTGGCCATTGACTCGTCTTACACTTCCAACGGAGATTCAGATGACCTGCCCTAAAGGGCCCCCTCTACAGAAGTACCATCTCAGCCAAAGCCAGTACCAGCACCCGCCTCGGAACGAGAGCCTTCTGGATCCACAACAGTCAAAGATGCCATGTCACCAAATGAAGACTCAAAGTCAACAACAGCTGTCAGAGGCAAGACCCTGTCTTTGTTAAAGTTCATCCTCCTCCTCGTCATCATCAAGCTCCATCCCAACAAAAGCTGTGGAAATTTCCATCCATGCACCTGAAAACTTTGAGGAGGAAAGCACTAGGCCGTACACCGTCCGAGAAAATCCAGATGCACCAGAGTACGTTCCGTGACAGATTCCATGAAGGTGAAGCTGGAAGGCATGGCACTTCAACAAAAACAACGCTTTACATTAAATGTAAAGGTCGCTCCTTCTTTACCAGTATTCCTACACATTTGACAGACCCAAGCTCCTTCCTGGCCGAGATGATAAAACCCAACTCCCCTTTCGAACCAATCAAAAAGGAAGGAAGCCCTGTATATGTGATTGATCGCAACCCAAGGTATTTTGACTTCATCCTAGATTACCTCCGTTCCCCAGAAGCCTTTCTAAAAGTACTCCCGACAGACAAGGGCATTCTACGTCAGATTCATGTGGAATCCACTTTTTTTGGCCTCCGTTCACTGACACGAGCTGTGGAGAAGTTTTCCTCTTCCCTTTCTTTATGGGAGGATTGATTTAGAAGATAAACAATGATTGATATTGGAGTGTGGTTGATTATTAATATTCATTTGTTCATGTTAATTTATTAACATAAACATTTCATTATTGTTCTCATTGTATATTATCATTATTTATCATTACGTCATGCATATCCATAATATTTATAATTGTCATTCATCCATGTTCTCAATTGTGATCATTTTCCATGCGTATTAGTGATATTATTGTGATAAATTATATGTTTATGTTGAAATGTTAATATGCTAATACAAAAAGCAATTACCTTTCATCTGCGTTCTTCCTTTTATTGTGGATCTTTGATGACCAACATTCCAGGACAAATGTATTTTAGAAGGAAGGGGCCCGTGTTACGAACGCAGTTTCTTTCTCTTGTTATATGACTGGATAAATAAATCAATGTAACATTAAAACCATAAAATAATGATAAGAAACATGCAAATATAGTATTTGCATTTAATTTTATTATTCATGATTACTGAATTGTGTTTTGAGATAGAACTAACTATCGGAATGGGCATATAAATCCTATCTGAAGTCTTGTATAGCTCTTGTGTATTACCTACAATAATCTTTTAACACGTTTCTATCCAAAACCGCATCCTAACCCGTGCATTTGATCGGTAGGCAACATGGCTTCCAATAGTTAGAATAATCTAACTGTGTCTCGGGACAAGTTCTTCACCACAGTTAAAATACCTCACATATACTTGCAATGTAGTAAATAATTGCAGAATCGCTCTGAAACAATTTTGAAGAATACAAAAAGATTTGCACTGAAATAACTTCCAAATCAATTGGAACAAACCTTTTGAGATTTTATATGCCTTTTATTCCAAAAAATAATCCATAAAAAGACGAAATCTCAACTAAATCTCTCAACGGTTTTTCTCGCTTCAAATTTACCTGCCATGTTTACATTCAGTACTCTCTGGATTGTTCGTACATGTAGTAAATGCACTGAGTATGAGTTATCGCCCGTGTTTCTTTTGCTACACTACGAATACACGGAACGAATTCTACCGTTAAACCGGGTCCGTAAGACATTATTCCTTTTAACGATAGAACATTCTATCTAGGCTTCCTAACCCGATAGAAAATAATACGGGGGTAATGATGCGTGTGTAAAAAGTCATATCCGTAGTAACGTAATACACAAGAACGTCATATATAAACAGCGAACAGCTGATTTGACAGTCAGATTGCTCCTCCTCATCTAAGGTTAAGATTAATACCATGGCTGAGGAATCTCGTTGGGTAATTGTCGATTCTAAAATTTAATTAATGGGAGCTGATGCCTGACCCAAATTTGGGATAATCTATTTATAGGATCTTTTATATAAATCATTTTATATTCATTGTAATATGTGTAGAGCGGGAGAAAGTTATTGGAGAGATTTACTCCCACAAGTAATTTGATGCCCCCGCTAGAGCCTGGATATTAAATCATTATTAATCATTGTTGCTAATTATAGAAAGTTATCTAAGACTGAATTTATATTATAGGGAGGAGCTGGTTAGGAGTTTATCTATTAATAAAATTATTTGTACTTTTATGAAATTCTTCGTTCTTTTGTTAAGCGAACAAAAATGGAGACCCACACGTTACTTTCACAAACTGTAGGTAAACATCAAGTGGTGAAATGTAACAGAATATTTTTTCTTGATTTGAATTGTTTACGCCCTCCTTTTTATGTTCCCCAAACGAAGTTGGGGAACATATTGTTTTTACTCTGTTTCTTATTAAGGTCTTCCGTCTTCACGGAAGACCTTATAGTGATTCTATTGTTTCTCTATTATTATTATTATTATTTTTTTATTTTTTTGACTTTCTAATTTTGTGCACGCGATTTCTCAAGACTACTGGATGGAATTACATGAAATTTTCAGGACAGATGTGTTGTAACATGAATTTATTATATCCGAGAGAAAATTTGTAAACTCACTTCCGGTGCCAAGTTACGGACAATTTCCTGAAATTAAAATGACATTTTGTCCGCGATTAAACTCAAAAACGGTAAAAGATATCAACATGAAACTTTCAGGGATAATAGATCGTGATATCTATCATCCAGGACGCGACATTTCGTTCGTCGTCTATACTTCCTGTCGTCAGGAGAAGCAAATTGAAAAAATCGTATTTTTCAACTTTTTTGTTTTTCAACATTTTTTATTCATTTTTGGAATGATAATAGAGACCCTTTGATCAATGCTTACTATATAATTTGTTTGATCATTGGTTAATCAGAACTCTAGATATTTATATTTGAAAATCTGAAGCGGACCCAAGATGGCGGCTGTCTCTGTCAACTCCGCCATTTCGCGAGTAGGGGTTTATGGAGGCAGCTGAGCGTTTGACTAAATGATACATGACAAGTAAAAAAACTACATGGACTTTCACCCTTCAGTACGCTGCAATTCACTGACAATCTTAAAACTTAATTTCCGTTTTACTGCTTTAGTGT